TATTACATACACCACATATGTTTTTTTTTAGCTAATATTCAGATGGAAAAAAAAAAATTGAAATCTAACATTGCCATGTCGGTGGCAGCGTGTAGTCAGGAAAAGACTCTTTATTCTTTCAAATACTTATAAATATTGGTATGCCGCTTCCATTTTTTGTAGTCTCTGGTTTCTGGTTTTCAAATAATCCAAAAAGTACATTCTACCGATTGTGATTGTGCAATATTAGTACATATATACATACATGTGTTAAATATGTATGTAAATAACAACTTTATATAAAAATCTATGAAGCTAAAGGTTAACAACATTTTAGCTGATAGACACAAGATGTGTAAATAGAATTTTGTTGGATCGGCGAAGGGCAAAAAGATGAGATGTGTTGATGCTGGAAATCTAGGGGAAGAGAGACAGGTACATAGGTACATACATATGTACATACATATGCTGAATAAAATAGAAGACAGCAGATCTGGCAGCAGGCAACAGGCAACAGCATAAGCGATGCGATGCGATGATGCTCAAGGTCACTGCCAAGCACAACCAAAATAGCCACAAATGAGAATAAAAGAAATGCAGACGAGACACAAAACAAAACTCCAGACCAGACAACAGACACAGACAACAAGCATTTGGAAAATTCTCGTAAATTTCCAACATACGAAACGTGCCACATGCCTGCCACACAAAACACACACACACCAATGAAGGGTCCCAGAGAGCGGACCGTGTGGAATAACCAACCCCCGAGAAGGGACAACCCCGAGCATAAACATTTGAACCTGAACCTGAATCTGAAAACGAATTTCGGATGATGGGATGATGTTTTGGGTCCGTCCGCTTTCTATGAAATCTGTTTTTATGAGGCTGCTGCGTCATTAGTCCGGGGGTTGATCTCTCAGTACACAGCCAAAGAGAGACATAAACAGAGAGAGAGATAGAGATACAGAGAGAGAGATGAACAGAGAGAGAGAGAGAGTTTATCCTTTGTTCTTGCTTCCTACTTCCTACTTCCTGTTCCTGGTTCTAACTTTCACTCAACTGAGTCAAATTCCACTCCACATTCCACTCGACTCGCACTGACCTATGCTTTTTGTGGATGGAAATTTTTTGGCGTCATTCGCGGAAGCAAGGACACGAAATTATGACGACACAAAGGACACAAAGAACCGACAGTTTCCATACCCCCCTCCACCCAAATTGTAAACGACGCAATGAAGGTTATTCACACGCAATTTCTTTGTTGGGGGAGGGCTCAGCTTCGCTTGTAAATCCCCAAAAAGCTTACACGTTGGCTAAGGACTAAGGACAACGCAATAACCAGAAATTAATTGTCATTTAACCACCGATACATAATCGTAGATACAGAGAGAGAGAGAGACATTGACTTTCTACGAACTCTAAGCAGCAGAGTAAATTTCTAAACATTAACTTACAATATTTATAAAGCACAAGAGAAGAGAAGCATGATATCTTAGCATTTTATATCCACAGAATATTCTTAATCTTATTCTTATATTAGTCTTAGAAATATATGTATGTATTATTCCCCCAAAGCTCACACTAAGCATGTCTACGCTCTGAGTCCTTTGTATCCTGTCTACTCATTTCACTTTCAATCACATTAACATATGTACATACAGTATATGTACATATATATTCTCCCACAATTTTGACACTTTGTTCTCCACTTTGTTCTCCACTAAATTTTCATCCATCTATTACAGTCATCTTATCTCAATAATTTCCCATAAGTTTTCCTGCTTTAACTGCAACTTTCCTCTCCATTTTACAAATTATTCCCTAAATGTTTTTGGATATTTCATTTAATATTTGTCTGCTTATATCAATGAGTTCTCAGAGCCTGTTTTCTACCCTTTCTGTATCTCTGTCTATTTTATATTTATAAAATATCTTCTACCGTATTTTTATCTTTTACAGTATATTTTCTGTCATATGTATCCCTGATGAGCTACTCTACTCCTATAATCGTATTTAGCTGCATTCCATATAACTTTCCTGCACCATATCCAACATAATATGTACATGCCAATCTTTTACATTCCTTGAAACGCCATAAACCCCATTTTCCCCCAAAGCAATTAGTATATGTAATCCGGCGAATCACGTGGAAGGAAGCTGCAACAAAATATGTCAAAATTCGAATAGCAAATGAGGCGGCAGCGGGCCCCAGTTCAACGTTTCTAAATTGCTAATAAATCGCTATAAATTGGGACTCGTAATTGGGAGGCCCGGAGGGACTCCCCCCCCCCCCCACTCCCTCACCCCCACCCGCCACCGCCACCTTGTGTCTTAGTGTCTGCTAATCCGCACAAATTAAATGCAATTGAAATAAATTTGCATGCCAAGATTGGGATGGCAAAATGTATGCAACAAGTGTCCCAATTGCATATAATTTATTGGCAACAAATTCTCAGCCCCACCCCAACCCACCCCACCCCTTCTATAGGTCATCCTCCAATATTTCTCGATTAGAGACAGACGCAAAAGTTCAAGAGTGTTAATTGTCGCATCAATTTGGATAATTGAAGGTAGTCCCGCTGTCTTCGCATCTTTAATTAAATTGCCTTGGGATCGATCTCACTCTCTCTCTCTCTCTCTCGTTCTCTCCTCCCTCTAAGTCCAATCGAAATGATCTTAAACTCAGCTGCAAAAGACAACTTAATAGTACAAAAGACAGAACAGACGTAATCTTGAGCGATGCCCCAAAACGAGAAACCGAGAAACAACCAAGAAAAAAAAACCACTTCGATCTCCAAATTCGATCTCATAAATGTTAACGGTCATTCACTAGCAGCAACAAAAATCGAGAAAAATTAAAAAGAAAACAACAATGCCAAAAAAAGAAACAGATTGAAGAGTGGCACAGATGGAATACTCTATGCCACAACGAAAACTCCTGATGATAGGACGACTCTTTGTTATAGGTAATCCATAAAAAAATGGTTCGTTAGCAGAAATATAACTTAAATTGCATAATACAACGTACGTATGTATTTATAAGTAAGCGATTATTACTGAATACTAATTAGATTGTAGAAGTTCAGAAGTATCCTTGAAGCTATCAAAAGTAGCTCCATTTGAAAGCTGTTTAATCATGAGTACGCATAATATTCTATGAATTCTTTAATCGAAATTATCAAGTCGAAACTTATTAAATATTTCTTTAGCATAAAAATATATAGCACAGGCTTAGGAATTGTCATAGTAAAAAGAACACACACAAATATATTAAATATAATATATAAAATTAGATAGAAATCACTTTGATTTAAACTTAAATTAATTTTAAGTCTTTGAATCGAAATACAAAACACTTTAAAATACATAAATAAAATATAACATACATATATATATATTTAAATTAAATGTGATAAATTTAAATATTTAAATAAAAATATTTCTTTCAATACATATGTATATGATACATATAAAAAATAAAATATGGGTACATATTTATAATCCATAATTGTTTAAGATATAATTTTTATAATTTCCACTCACGTTGCAAATCTATTGGTTAAAATCAACATATGTATGCAGCTCTAAACATTATACCCAGACATCTTCGGATAGTCAGAGGACTCCACGATGATTAGTGAATAACAGAGAGGCAAGCTGAGCACATTATTTATGACGAGTATTTGATATACTTGTAGTATTCGAGGAGCTGACTTTCTGCTTTTTGCTTTTTGCTTTCTGCTTTGTTGGGGATCTTAAGGCAAACGAAAGAAAGAAGTCACTTGATATGCACACAGGCGCGTTCGATTCGATTCGATTCGTTACGAACAGAGAACCCAAAAAGGAGAACAGAGACACGGTCTGCAGAGACAAAAGATACGATCGTAAACCTGATCGGCTCTCAATCTCCAGTTCTTTTTTCTGTTCTCGTTCTTGATGTCTGTCGTTGTGTTGGGCCCCCCCGTATTGGACTTGGACAGTTTCGAAAGTTGAACTTTTGCATGACCAAATTAATGAAATGAACCCAAGCTAAACGAAATGAAACCAAACCAATCGAATCCAATCCAATCCGAACCCATTCCAATTCCAATACCAATCCCCAAGCCAATCCAATCCATTCCAATCCGGTTAACATTGACCGCAAACTATCAAAGCGAAATCTTGTCATCAAATCAACTTCTCAGGAGATTCGAATGTTCGAATGTCCAAATGTCTCGTCGACATCTATAGACTTGGTGCTAAGCAGGTGTCATAACTAGCCTGCCATTACACCTCGACGCGTATGGCGCAAGAGTCGTCATCGCATTTGGAAATACTTGCCAAAAGTAAGTGCAAAAATGTGTCAGACCAGAGGCTTCTCAAACTAATTGGTTTTAACACACAGCATACAGCGACTGGTACCATTAGATATGTATAGATTTTATGACTTTATATGGATTTACGTGTCTGGCAAACAGGGATAAGTGTCTTCAGAGAGTATTAAAGACATGAGAAAGGTGTTCTTATCTTTGTGTACAATTATCTTTTAATCTGTGGATCAGTTCTACTTTTATTGGGTATCTCCTCGCTTTATTTGCCTTTACTTCTACGATTATTTGTATTTATTTAGGCTTACATTCTATGGGAAATCATAGTACAATATCTCTTGTTCTCTGGATATCTTCTTGATGGGAATCCATTGAAATTTCCAAAGCACATATCATCCATTAAAAAGCTTAACTGGGCAGGGCCCCCATTGCTTTGGGGGGAGACACTTTCAAAACCGCATCGGAGCAGGCCATAAAGTGGGTCACCAAAACCACAAAACTGTCAGCCACTGCCACGCCACGCCCACGTTACACAGTCCCCCCCAGTCCACCGCGACTGGAGGTGTCTGGTTTTTTTTTTTTTTTTGTAATTTTCAAATTGAAATATTACCGTTTTTCTGTCGTCCATTTTGAACAGATACAAAACCTGTTATGTTGCCCAAAATAACAACACAAAAATTGCATACGCTTAAAAGTAAATATATTTAAAATAATAAAAAAAAAACAGAATTTGAAATTATTAATTGCCTAGCTTTAATCGAAGTGAATAAATTATTTTGGTTCGTCTTCAGGTTCAGACGGGCTGTTTAGTGGATATGCCTGACGTCGATGGAAGCTGGTGGGTAGGCGTGGATGGATTGGCCGAATGGCGCAGATGCAGCAGGGGCGAATCCGTTGTGTCCAGGCCACTAATGTCCGGATAGTGGGGTACACGATCGCGATACGCATTGATGTCGTTGTCGCGATCGGGATCGGGAAACTCGCTGGCCAGATGATAGATGATCTTCTTGAACAGGAACTCCGACAGGTTGGTGCGCAGAAAGAAGAGGAACATCCAGTTGGAGAAGTTGCACTTGTCGATCACCGCAGCGATCTCGTTCTCGTCCACTCTGCCCGGCTTGGCCCAGTACAGCGACCAGCGGGTAAAGGTCAAGCTATAAAATGCATGGGAATTGTCAAAAGAGTTAAGGGCTAAGGGTATACGGGGCTCTAGGGATACTCACTTTTTGTAAAAGAAAAGCGTTAGGAGTCGCCAGACGAGACCCAAAACTGTGACAATCAGCAGGAAGGCATACCAGAACCACAATATCACATAGATCTTCTCGTTCATGATGTTCAAGGCCATCACACAGAGGGTGTCGTGCTCCTGCAGTGATCCGGAGGCGCCAAACTTGAAGAACTTGCACTTGGTCACCTTGGGGAAGACCACATCCAAGGCATTCATCTCGTCCACCCATCGTGAGTGCACGGCCTTCGGACCCAGCGTGAGAAACTCACCGGCCAGAAAGCGATTCGTCCAGGTGATCTGCAACAGCAGATTTACCAGATTGAGCACCTCGGCAAATACCAAATGTGCGCCCCACGACTGATTCAATCGCATGCGATCGATCATTGTGCGACGAATATCCTTTATCCGTTCATCGGCCTCCGCCATCGATGGTATATTCAGCTTGCCGATCCGCAGACTGTCATTCTTCAGGTACTTGGTGAGACCGACCATGCGCAGGCCAAAGACCAAGGCCTTGACCCGTCCGCCCTCCCACTTCTTCCATAGAAAGTGCGGCACATAGAAGCAGAGGGCCTGAAAGAACAGCACAAACGGCACCCACTGATAGTAGCCATGGCGCTTGATTTGATCCTCGTTTTTATTGAACGGTCCGATGCCAGGCGAGAAGATCTCACCATTCTTAAGGGCAGTGTTGTTGTAGTGCTTCACCTGAAAATAGAACGCAATATTTATTGATCTTTCAAAACTATTCACCCGTATATTAAATGTCTGTTAATCATATAAGATAGCCCTAGGTCATATCTTTTGGCAGTCGTTTGGTGACCCCAATTGGGACTTCTACCAGTCCCGTGGTGACCCCAATTAAGACTTCTGCCAGTCAACTGGTGACTCCAATATAGACTTCTGGCATGTGGCTTATGTGTTGGACTTACCACAGTAAAGGTGGGCGTAAAGAAACAGAAGGTATTGATCACTGGTGCAATCACAGCATCGGATATGCACTGGATATGCTCGCCAATGTACTGGCGCGATGTGATCAGCAGTGTGGCCACCAGCAGGATGACAAAGGTCCAGCGATAGTGCAGCTTGAACACAATATTGTCGATGATCACTCGCGTAATATCGAACTTGAGGTACTGCCTCACCGAGCTGAATGTGTTCAGCATTGTGCGCCGCGCTGTTATCTATCTCTTGTTCTAGGTTCCACCTTTCAGCTCCGATTACGATTACAGTACCAAGGGGGTTTTCTCGAGTATTGAACGAGAGGTTTTTGGTCTGAGGAATTGTCGTGGCCTGGCTAGCTCCTCATAACGTTGCTGTTGTCCGCACACTGTCGGGGATTGCAAACTGTTTCGACTACGGTAACGCGCTGAACTGCCCCGCCTGGGAGAGTTGGCGTCAGATTGCCGTTATCAGGAAGGGAAGGGAGCTCCGTTGCCCCAAGTTCTCTTGGCACTAAGACCCACCCAAAAGAGCCTCCCGCTTTCGATAAGACTTCGGCCAAAAGAGCCAACTCGGCTATTTAATTGAGTTTTTGGGGTGTACGAGCGTACGAGTACCCACTCACTGGATATCTTATCGAATGATAAGTATTCGCTCAGGCAGAGAACGTGGGTAGAATGTAGCTTGCAGGTGGCATTCCTGATCAAAATTTCTTCTCAGCGAGAGAAAACCGAAAGAGAATAATACAAATGAGTACATAATCCCGAAAGTGAGTGATCAAAAATGGTTCCCAAGGTAACAAGAAATGGTGATCAATAACCACAACTCATAAATATATCTCAAAGCCATGAAGGAGCTCCTCTGGCAAATATATGTACATACATACATATATGTATTTATGATGTACTTTATGGGATAACAAATGGGTTACAAACCTTTCACCAATTTGTAGCAAACGAAAAACCCCAAAAAAGTGACTGCGTTTGATCCGCATCGAATGATTGAATCATAAACGAAAATAACTGAACCGAAATAATTTGGAACGCCCAATGACGTGGTGGCCAAAGCTAATTCAACTAATCTTATTTTGATCAGCATTTCATTGAGCCACGTAAAAACAAATTACACAAAGGAATGGTAGTTATATTTGGAATTGGATTTTATGATTGTTGTGACTAGTCACCAAGACTTTATTTTTGGCAGAAAAAACGCATGGAAACAGACGGAAAGGGTCATTAGTAGTAGATGCTCCGCTTGCCATTTGTTTCGATTTTTTTCTTTACCAAATTTCCCATAAGCGAACGGATGTGAATGCACACGAAATACGAAACATTTCGGACATTTCCAGGCGATGATGAAAGTGGAATCGAATGACAGAATGAATATTAATTTCCCTTCGCATAGCTCGTGAATCACCCGCGACCCACTGCAGCTCCATTTCCGCCGTAAATTGGAGCTCTACGCATCAGAGGGCCGCCGCTATCAATCTGCAATTGCGATTCAATGATGTCTATGCTAATGGATGGAGGAGGGACAGACAGTGAGATAAATGTGGCCCAATGGAAAGAGGGGGGATATATTTGTGTATGTACATAGCTGTTGACCCAGATCAGTGACGGACAGCCATATACTGTTGTTCTTAAACTTAAGATGGTGAATTACTCGTTTATTTTCTTTGAAACAGATTTCATATCAGCTTTGATATTCGTCATAACTGCATGACTCTTGGTGGGACAGGTGTAGGAGGTCTCTACATACGTCTCTGTGCTCTTTAATCTTCCATGAAATGACAATCTTATCGCCTAGACAGACAACCAGTCAGGGTCTGCTCTTCATTTTTCATTTTTTTTTTATGAGTTTGTGCTTTCTTTTTCATTTCGTTTTGTTTTATTATTCTTGATTTCTTTTTTTTTGTTTTTTTTTTTTGGGTGGAATGTCACTTTTGAGATCCCCACATTATCTGTGTCAGCATACTTTGTATGTATCTCATTCTGTATCTTCACTGACGCTTATCTAAATAGCTCAGCGACTACGACGAATTCATATTTTGTGCTTATTACTTAAGCGCTTAAGAGTCGAACGCTGCCGGATAAGATACCCGTACAGCCGTACAGATAGAGCCGAGAATGGGCATGGGAATGCGTAACCATAAACAGTGACTATTTCACTCTCTCACTCGCTCACTCTCTCAGTGAAATCGTGTTAGTAATTGCCACATTTTTAGATGGTTGACTGGCTATGATTTAGCCTTTTCCTGTTCTTGATTTTCATTGGAAAATTGTTTTAAGCGAAAGTTCATTGAATCATATTCAAATATCAATCGAAATTGCTTCATTAACACAATTGCCTAATGCCCGTACATATGTATATGTACATATTTATTTATCTTTTTTTTGCGTTGGCATTTTCGCATTGATTTCGCATTTAAATGAAGCGAACCGCAATGAAGTTGAAATTCAAACCATTCAAGCAAGGCGATCAACAACACATTACCCTCAGCCACAGATACAATTACACCTCATAAGCAATACGAGAGTCTATCCACAGATACGATACTATAGTAGTGCTCGTACTCGTACTCGTACTCGAATTCGCATTCGTTGCAACAATATTCTGCTGAAAAAGTGAAAGTACGAGCTTTTATTTTATACAAATTGCACAATGCCCTCTGTGGGTGAAGAATGCGATTGATCAGCGATCAAAATCAATCAAAATACAATTACAAAAATGCAACACACAGATTATACCAAAATGAGAGAGCCAGGTATCTAAGGATTGCTTTGATCTGTGAGTTATCCTTACTTTCGATGAGTAGTCTTCATGGGATTTCTGAGATTGCTTTTAGGCTTTTGGAAGCAAACATTTTTTGTTTTCTGACCAAGATTCCAATGATTTTGATCCTGCAATGAATACTGCTTTCAAATCCAGACATATTTTTTCATGGAATATTTAATAAATTAACAATATTATTGCAACGGTTTCTTTGCCTTTGACCTTTGCGAAAGACACATTTTTAGGGGCCTTAAATGGGGCCTTAATTTACCTTTTTGCTTTTAGCTCCCTCCCTTCACACGAAACAAAAAGATGACCTCGAAGACGTTTTTGGGGGGGTAAACGCCACCTGTTGCCAATTATTCATAGAGAACTTAATGGACAATCGTATGCGAAATGAACTTGATTCGATGGCTTAAATGGTGGCGCGGCACACAAAGCGACGCCGACACGAGAAATTGATTAGGCAAACACAACAAAACGCGAGTGTATCCAAGTATCTATAAGATAAGTAGTCAAACAGAGAGCGAGAGAGAGAGAGGATCATTTGCAGTCTCAAAAGCGCTGGCTCTTGAGAGAGCTTCTTCTGTTGGGCCTGCAAAAACCAAGACAAAGACAAAGAGAGATGGAGACAGGCTAAGCGCAGGCGTAGCTTGATTTTATAGTGACGCAGAGAATTTTCGGGGAATTTTCTTGTATGATTGTCCGACATTTCTTGGGCTTCTCATCCCCATTCAGTTGGTGATGACTAAGATCTGGCAATTGGGCAATAAATAAACAAATCACAGACTGAGGGGAGAAATCCCAGATGTTATCGTTCCCATCACATATATTTTGGACATTTTTTTTTGCAATCGCACGAGTTTCATACGATACCATTTTCCACTTTGCATACTTGTGTGAGAAACTCGAGAGTGGGTGATAGGGACCCCATTCGCCATTCCATATGATTTATACACGGGCGTTAGACAATTAAGGCTTCGGTCTCGGGTTTGGTTTTTGATTCGGTTCGTTGCGGTTTTTCTGGTGCTATTTATAGCCCGGACAGTAGCCGTCTCGGCAAATGTATCTTCTACTCGCTCGTATGCCCGCATGTGTATCGACTTAATGGTTTTATAACTGATTTTTATTGGCTCGGCTCTCAGGTTGTTGACGGCAATCATTATTAATTGCCATCCGCCTAATGGGGAGGACTCATTTCATATGATTTAGCCCCCCGTTTTGTCCAACACTACGCGCGGTATTTACCTACATACATATGTATGTATGTATGTACATCTGTTTTGATCAAAAATTCGGCTAATGGCTAATGGAGTTGTCGACAGTCGACTTAGGAGTTGAAGTGCAGAATGAATTTGGAACAGAGCCCTACTTTGGTCTCAATTAATTCAAAGTTTAAATCGAATTTGAATCACAATTAAATCGGCTTTTGATATAGGAAGGAAAGCTGAATTACATTCTGTTTGTATTTAGCGTTAAATATGGTCTAAAATAAAGTGAATTTCATTGGGATTTTGAACTATGTTTATTATGGTATAATGTACAACTTTATTCTAAGATATTTTGGAGTTTAATAAAAAAGTAATAAAGAAGAACAATTTTATACTATTTCAAACTTTAATTTAGTTTTAATCGATTTTAACCTAAAAATAACTAAAAGGAAACGAATATTTTCTATGGATAAAATCATTGTAAATACAGCAGAATTAGGAGATAATAACCTTCAAGAAATCTCATTAAAGAATATTTTAAAATATAATACATTAAAATGGGGTGCCATGATTTTAGAAAGCTAGACATTGCCCCATTTGATCTGTAAGGGTCTTGATATAGTAGAACCTACAAATGTGAGAATCTGAAATGTTTCTCTTTCTTTAGCTCACTCTCTACAAAAGTTTCCTGCACAGATCTGTCGAGATCTTGAAGTTCTGTGATGTCATGAAAGAGCACCCTTATCATTCCTTATCAGCGTTCTAGCAGCTACTGGTACTAATAGTGCCTATGACTATCGCCAGCTATTACGACATCAAGAATACGTTTTAATTATTTTGTTCAATCAAATAAACGCTCAAGGAAAAAAAAAAATGTCCATGTTTATGTATGCACTATATATAACACCATTTATGGTGTAGATAAGCCAATGGATTTCTTAATTTAAAACTCAAGATAGGTTCTTATGGTTTCGTGGATTGGAACGCTAACGATGGGTCGTCCGGTTCAGGGTTTTGGAATTTATGGATGGTGTCGTGGTGTCGGACTCGAAATAAAGAAGAAACAGGTAAACAGGCAACGAACGAAGACAAAGAAAAAGGTAAAATACCAACAATGAGAAGGAGAGCAACATCAACGAGAACGAGTGTAACAGGTAGTCGTCGAGGCTCTGCCCCCCTCTCTCTCACTCTGTCTCTCTCTCACTCTTTCAGGGAAAAATCCCGCTAAATGTATGTGGTATACCATGGAGAGAGAGTCACTCTAATCACGTTTCCTTCCATTCTCAATGCAAGGGACGCACAGGTAAATAAATCGTTGGAAATAATCAGCTAGTGTCTGTATGGGTGTATACAGTGTGTGTGTGTGTGTGTGTGTGTGGGTTTTTAAAGGTACTATAGAAATGTAATGAAAGCCGGGTTCCATCCTCTCTTAGCCTTTGTCTCAACTTTTCTCTCCCGCTCTATCCGTTTCGCTCCCTGTCCATCTCTATATGTACATATACATATGTGTATCTCTTTTTGTTGACTCCAACTGCAACCCCAACCCCAACTCCAACTTCCAACAGCTCCAGCATCCACACACAACCAACACCATTGTACTGCACGACACGACGGGTTCCAAGAACCTTTCGCCCTGCCCCTGCAACGCAAACACAAACACCAGCACACAAAAGAGTTTGAATATGGGAATATGGGATGCTGTCTCTGAGTGGGAGCGCGACATAGATGCTCAACTCAGCTGCAGTTGCAACATAAAGAGCGGCGGCGTTGCCAGACTGACGCACAAATAACATTCCTGGCTGTCATCAGACATCACCTAAGTGATGTGCCTGAGGATAATTAGCTACAGCTGCTGCAAGTTCTTTGCTCAAATTTCCAGGACCTAGCATCACTAGTGTGTCACCCTTCCCCACGTCCAGTCCGCCCAGCCCCCGCTAAAATGAATTGTCACCCTTTTTGGGAGCACAGCTTCCATGACGATGCGATGCTTATGACATGCCATGTTTAGCACGAGCTCTCTCGCTCTCTCTCGCTCTCCCCTGCCTTACATAAACAAGAGCAAACACAAGTCTGGCCTGAGCGGCAGAGAGATTGAGTGGCGACTCAAACAAGATCCACCCCATAACAGCCCGAGCAAGTTACCTGAACGACTCTCACGCGCTGCGCTCTCGCTCTTGCTCTCTCTGTCTCTCTATCAGTACAGCATAACTGGGAGAGAGCAACTAAAATGACTCAAGCGGAGCGCACTCTCGCTCTCGGTCTGCCCTCTCTCTCTCTCCGTGGCGAAGCGAAACGCGAGCAGAAAAACCACTGCCCTCCAGTTTGGGCTGAGAGCTCAGACGAAAACCGATATCCGAAGTGTACGCTTTAGTGCCCGCTGCTGTGTCGGCGTTTTATACTACCTGGGTAATACCGCCGCCAGCCGTCGCCGTTGTCGTCGTTCGTCGTCGTCGCCGCTACCGCCAACACCAGCACCAGCACCATCACCATCGCCACCACCCGACCGCGCGCCCGCCCGCGCTTTTCGTTTGAGTTTGAGTTCGAGTTAACGAGTACGATTGTGTCGCGTCGTCCGTCGTGTGTTTGAGAGCGTGCGCACCCGAAGACACTCCGCCGAAGCCGAAAGCTCGCTGGGGGATCTCTAACCAGAGCGCGCCTGTGTGACCAAATCCAAGACCAATTGTTGATCGTGCCCAGACCCAGACGCAGGCGCACACCACAAAACAAGCGCGCACACACACACACACGCACAGACACACGAATTAAGAATATACATTTTTTTTTACTGTTTTCGCTTGATGTGCATTATTCTTGGGCCGGAGACTGAAGAGTTATGTTGGACAAGTGAGCAGCAGGCCATAAGCAAGATCAGCAGCAGCAGCAACAACAAGCCGTAATTGAAACAGCACGGCAATCGGCCAATCCATCAATCAAAGCAAGAACGAACGGTAAAAGAAGGCAAATCAAAAAAAACAAGAGCATCAACGCAGAAGAGACAAGACCAGCTTCACAATGTTTGACGTATTCGGCTCCGTTAAGGGGCTGCTGAAGATCGACCAGGTGTGCATCGACAACAATGTATTCCGGATGCACTACAAGGCCACCGTGATCATCCTGATCGCCTTCTCACTGCTGGTGACATCCCGCCAGTATATCGGGGATCCGATCGACTGCATCGTCGACGAGATACCCCTGGGTGTGATGGACACCTACTGCTGGATCTATTCGACATTCACGGTGCCGGAACGCCTAACCGGTGTGACCGGCAGGGATGTGGTCCAGCCGGGCGTTGGCTCCCATGTGGAGGGCAAGGATGCAGTCAAGTATCACAAGTACTACCAGTGGGTGTGCTTTGTGCTCTTCTTCCAGGCGATACTCTTCTACGTGCCGCGGTACCTATGGAAGTCGTGGGAGGGTGGACGTCTCAAGATGCTCGTCATGGACCTGAACAGCCCGATCGTGAATGATGAGTGCAAGAATGATCGCAAGAAGATCCTCGTCGACTACTTCATTGGCAATCTGAATCGGCACAACTTCTACGCCTTTCGCTTCTTCGTCTGCGAGGCCCTCAATTTTGTGAATGTGATTGGTCAGATCTACTTTGTGGACTTCTTTCTCGATGGAGAGTTCAGCACGTACGGCAGCGATGTGCTCAAGTTCACCGAAATGGAGCCCGATGAGCGCATCGATCCGATGGCGCGAGTCTTTCCAAAGGTCACCAAATGTACGTTCCACAAATACGGTCCCTCCGGCGATGTGCAGAAATTCGACGGACTGTGCGTGCTGCCGTTGAACATTGTCAATGAGAAGATCTACGTGTTCCTGTGGTTCTGGTTCATCATCCTCAGCATACTATCGGGCATCTCGATCATCTACCGCATCGCCGTCGTTGTCGGCCCCAAGCTCCGTCACCTGCTCCTCCGCGCCCGTTCCCGCCTGGCCGAGAGCGAGGAGGTCGAACTGGTGGCAAACAAGTGCAACATCGGTGACTGGTTCCTGCTCTATCAGCTGGGAAAGAACATCGATCCACTCATCTACAAGGAGGTGATATCTGATCTCTCGCGCGAAATGGTTGACGATGAGCATAGTGCTCATAAGCGACCATTCGATGCCTAAAATCTAAGCGAAGACCAACACGAATACGAACACGAAGATGAAGATGGAAGACTAGGACGAGGACGAGAGCGAGAATAAGAACGGGGCGCTCATCCATTCAAGGAGTGGGCGTGGCAGTGTGCCAGAGTGCCAGTAAGTGTCCCCCACACACATATACCCACAAAAACTCACACACACAAGAAAGCTCCATCTTTAACGTTTACATATATGACCATTCCCATTCCAATCCCCCCCAAAACCCCAAAAACCGAAACCCTCCATCGATCTTAAGACAAAAGAAAGACATTAGTTCGTAGTGATTTAGTTGATAAACCTTTCAATTGATTGTAAACTTTGACTATTATTACGATTATGGCATCCATCCATGCGTAAATTGTAGTTTTTCAAACAACAACAAAAGACACCAACACCCACCATTTTTTTTTTTTTAACCATTATCTTTAGTCTTAACAAAAGCGAACGAACTAAGCGAGATCTTCATAACGACAATAAAAACTATGTTTTCCAATACAGCAAAGAATCACTTTTACACCGAGAGACAGAGAGAGAGAAAGAGAGAGGGAGAGAGAGAGAGAAAGAGAGAAGTTCTACTGGTCTTACGCGCTCATTTAAGCGTAACCCAAGCAGCAACAACCGGCTCTGTCTCTGACTCCGGCGCTGGCTTGGGTCTCCACTTGATTTCCCTTCCAGTCAAAGCGAGATGGCAACTGCGCATGCGCAACAGCCATTTCTAGCTCTGTCCCACTACCAAACACACACACACACACAAAAACACACACACTTTCATAGAGAGGGACAGGGAAAACCAGTTTGACCAGCAGATAGTAGCTGGAAAGATCATTGCCAGCAAAGCAAAAGATTCTTACCAACTTCGACTTCGACTTCATCTGGCATTTGGCATTTCTCTTACGGCTAACCAGTGGATGGTCGAACCTGTCCAAGCCGTTGGGTTGTATGCGTACTGTGAGAGCTCGTTTTGTTCGTTTTCGTTACTGAACTCAACCTGCAGTCCGATCAATTTAGCTAAATTTAAACACTGCAATACTTTAATGTATCATATTACATGGAGCTTAATCTGATTTTGATTTGTGTTAGTCTTACTGGCTGATTTAATGATCGATCAATCACTTTCCATCTCTAGTTATATTTCTCTCCTCACTAGGGGTCTCGTTGCCATCTTTACCGTTTGTTTCTCGCTCCCTGCTATCGCTCTCGTTACCATCTCTAATCACACACACTGCCCTTCAACTCAACTGAAATGTCTCCCTGTCAGCCGCGTAATCAGCATTTAGTTGCTCAATGTCTGCGCACATTTAGTTCTCGGTTCTCCATTCTCTGAGACGACATGCAATGCCAATTAGAAGTTGGGCAATATGTGTGGTCGTGGTCGCATACGTGACAGCTCCAACTAAATATTTTACTTATCTAATCGAAAGAAACGAGGTTCTCAAGAGAGTGAGCGATAGAGAGAGAGGCAGTAAAATCCAAAAAAGAAAAAAAAAAAAAAAAAACTGATAAGATACAGATACAGGGAACACAGCTACGCTACAGATATACAATTGGCTACAGGCTGCCAGAAAAGAGGCTGTTCAGGCTGTTGTGGCTGATGTTGCTGTTGATTGGTGACAAAGTGCTGCCATTAGCACACATTTTCATTCGCTCAGAGATCAGAAAAGATCACAAGATCACAAGATCTCAGATCTCAGATCCAGACCAGACCAGGTCTGTGTCCGTGTTCGTATCCGTGCCGGACTGTAGTTTCATTAATGATTGCAAACACAAAAATACACACAATTCGTCTCGGGGTCTCTGTCGCTGTTTAGCCTCAACAGCTTTTGATGATCATCATAATCAACAAATAAGCGAATGAAATTTTTGTTCTTGCCCTCTCCACATATTAGTATATGTTCATGTTAGTGTGTGTGACCGCCAATTTGGGATATCAATGAATGAATGAATGGGCCTGCCCCGGACCGTACCGGACCGCTCTATCACACCCAGTACACCACCCCCCCTCCCCCACAGCTCCACATGGCCCTACACACAGCCTTTCCCTGGACGAGTCACCATGAATGAAATGAGAAACAGACACGCGAAAAGCTGTTTGCTCTCTATTAAATGTTTTCTGTTTTGCAGTATACCCCGCAATCATTTGAGATCTTGAAAAAAAAATATATTGATCATGTAAAAATCATACCAATCGGACAAATAATATTAAAGCCAGAATGTATGCATACCTTTGGTATTTTAGGCATTTAAAATCGTGATAAAATATATCCACATTTTAAAAGTGAAGCATAAGTACAGATACAGGTATCCAATAGTCGGAAAACTAGGGTTTAATTTTTGTTGTTGTTTAATTAAATTTACTACGCACGCACTTAATTTGTTGCTCTCTCTCTCGTTCGCACATACAAAACATTTCTATGGGGCTTTAATTACATTAATTGGTTTCAATTAACAAAGAGCATGAGAACGAGAAGAAGAATGCCCCTAACTCGTCGCAGATGAAAATCCATACATATCCCGCCATACATCTACGAATATTATCTTAGAACAATGGAGTGTGGAGCAATGCTCGAGTATGATTTATAGATTTATTGCTTCCCTTTAGTTGCAGGTTTGTTTTTTTGAATGGGACTTTAATGATAGTAAAACAGTTGTGGGATTCTTATTCATGGCAGATGTATTGAAAAAAGGAATGAGAACAGACTCAGATACAGATGCAGATCTCTATTATATTATATATTTGCAAATGGCTGTTAATATGATAAGTAGTGGCAATACTCGTTTAATGTATTACAGTCTATGGATATTAAATAGTAGTATGCATACATAAATTCCGAAAAACTGCTGCAAATAAATTAATATATGAATATTTAACTCTGCTATAATATATGTACATGTATGCTGTACGAATTCATCGGAAAGATGTGTCTAGATTTGTGCCTAATCATATACATATGTGCCCCATCCAATGGGACATAAAGATAGAAACGCGCCACAAAAGCCACATCAAACAATTCCATTCATTAATCTTATCTGTTGCATTTTGGAAATTTTTCAACTGTCATTTATCTTAAGAATGAGATACATTTTCCTTGCTCCAAGCAAATGAACTAACACTATTATTTTTATATCATTTTCTTTTTGTAGTTTCACGCCGCCGAAGGTTAAATGAGGACTCTCCAAAGTCGCTGGATGTCAATGTAGATTGAGGCCTTTTGAGCTAATGACGAGCTAATTGAACACATATCAACGAATTCCCTGCTGAAAATGGGATAGACGCAAACGGGGTGTTAGCTAGAGATGCAGTTTGGAGAGACAGCCGAACGTATACTCCTATAAAAAGAAAAATATGAATTAATAATAATAGTACACAAATGAATGTAACATATACTAGCCGAATCCCAGGGGCTGGGGGTTTGGCTCTGCCCCGATGGCGCACGACAATCAGAATTTACATACAAGTTCCGAAACCCCCGAAAATCCCCCTGGGTGAAATCCATTAAAAGACAGGAAAAAAAAGACATTTTTCAACTATAATTTATGGCATACAATGTAGGTACGAGTATGCCGTCAAGGAGCAGCAGCAGCAGCTAACGAATTAAGTTATGGGTTAGAGATATACTATATACAGATCCATATATAATATATTTTTAATAAGCAATTACACAGATATTTATACATGCGAAGAGACATACAATATATATTTACGAAATGCCACATGCGAGTAATATTTATGCTAAGAGTTGTGATCATTGATTAAGACATCTATCTAAAACAAAAAAAACAAAAAAAAATTCGGTTATATACATATGTATGTATGTACATTTATCCATGAAAAAATAACAATAATTTACAAATAGTAAAGTAAAAAACAAACAAAAAACGCCAGCATAAAGAGAGAACCACCCCCTATTGTTAACACTAATATACATACATACATACAATACCATACATACATACATATATTAAATATTCTATTTCAATTTTTACACATATAATTTAGCAATTTTCGCCAGCAATTAGTAATTAGTAATTTTTTCATAATATTAATAATATTTTGTTTTTTTTTTTTGCATATTTTTGGTAGCATTTATATAGTTTAGCGCAATTTTTTTTACACTCACGAGAAATCATCCATAAACGAAGGGAGGAAAGGAGAAAAATCTATATATTTATACAAGAGAAAAAAATATAATATATACATATATACATTAAAAACTAAATGTAAGTGCATTGAAAAGACAAGCAACAAATGAAAGACTCAAAGGCAATATTTAAAAAACAGCTAAAATCGGGAAGCAATAAAAAAAAAAAAAATAAAATAAATAAAAATAAAAATCAATGTTTGTCATTTTTAGGCTAAGTTTCAATTTCAATTCCATATTCTTATGCCTAATTATAATTTTATGAAAATTACTCGAGAACATGATGATTTGTTTTTTAAGATTTATCGTTTGTATTCATTCAAGAACAATTCCATTTCATGCGGAAATAAATGACAGAATAAAACAGGAAAAATCAAAGACCGTTTTCTTATCGGGTGGGGGATGGGGGGGGGGGGGGGTGCGCCAAAAGCAATTACAAAGCCAAACAACAAAACAAAAACAGTTGTCGACACTTCAAAGGTTCTCTCGTTGGAGGGAGGGATGTGGCACGGAGAGCGGGTGGGTGCAGGTTCCACATTTTTTACTGCTGAGAACCTGCCCAAACTTGTTGACTTTCAGCAAACATCGGAACGGGCGTCTCTGGCACGATCTCTGGGGTGCTAATGGTCTTTGACCCACCTGCCTTTTTCACCAGAATTATCTTCAGAACTTTGTTCTCAACGTATGTAGCTGCAGCTGACGTGTGATTTCCCTAGGGATACCGTCTCCATATTTAATTGTACAGAAACTTATCAGAGAGGAATGTGGACAACAGGGAGGCATCTAGGGGTGCCTGTGCCTCCAAGCCTCTTACGAAAGGTGTTGAAATATTAGCGCAAGACATTTCCAATATTTCATTTAGCATACACTTCAGCGGCTCTTCTTTCAGGCGGAAGGTTTGGTACTGGGCTGGGTTCTGTACTCGCACGTATGGCCCAATAAAAGGCGATTACGCCTTCATTACGTGAATCGATCTTAGTCACTTTTATCAGGGTTAATTTGGTGACTTTTTATTTGTTGTTCTGGATAACATCACGTTTTTTTTACACCAAATATTCGTCACTCAGCTCAGAATTGAATTTTTAAAATGTTCTACAATATTTGTTGTACGCTGTATAAGACCCTCTGGGGTCTGGGTGCGCGTTTCCTTTGGGGAAACTGGAGTCCAAAAGTCCATTCGAATAAATAAAAATCTATCATCATCTATCAAGAGCCAGCTACGTAAGAGACACAACCTTAATGGATATAGGATTAATGGACATGGATATGGATAGACGGATTAATTTTTGTTCTGCAATTGTTTTCCCTTTCCGGATTGCGCATTCCGGACAAACACGGCAACGGAATGCTGTAATCGCGATGCGGTGGACCAGGTCGCAAGTATTCCAGCGATTTTATAATTATACAAACATTGCAAATTTATGCTGAACGTAAGGCAATGCCGTAGCCTCATGGGTGAGGTGTTGGTGCTGGTGCTGGTGCTGGAACTGCGGCTGGGGCAATGCGGATTGCTGAGAAGATGTTGAGCAAATTACGGGTATCATATCAAATTGAATTAAGCGCTGCAATTGCCCTCAATAAATAAATACATGCATATGGCATACTCGTATAAATATTACGGCAAGGCATTGCCAAGAAAAGGCGAAACCCAAGTGTGGAATAGAAATGGGTACATACGAGTATGTACATATGTACGTATATATTAATGGAAACTGCGACTCTCTGTCTCTTTCTATCGCTCTAAACGACAAATGTCAAAGTTCTGAATTGATTGAATTGAATTTTTATTTGTCGCCCGCCCCTTAAACATTCCGCAGAACAAAATGTACACACAAACGTGGGAATAGCACGTCTCAGGGTAAACTGTAGATATATTAAACAAAATAAGAGTTTTGCCTGGATCATGGTATCCTATTTGATTTGGTATATCCGAGGGGATGGCTTCCATTTGAGGCACGCCCTCGTACAGCTATCAGGGGCAGGGACAGGGACTCTCATAAATTCTTTACAGGGGCCATCCCATAAGCTACCCACGACCGAGGAGCGCTGCTGCATGACACGCGACACGTGTTTAGGCTGCATTTCATACTTATTTCCAGACGAGCAGCTCCACTTGAATGGATATAAATACCTACCCCATTGGATAATACGTGGGGGTGTATGCACCCCAATAGCCCAGTCCCAATGTACACGAGTATTTCTGGTTGACCTTGCACTTGTAAGGGGGGCGGAGCAGGGCGTTTGTTGTCGTTGTTTTTTTTTTGTTTCTCGCCGGACAATTGTCAAATTAATTTCCCGCAATTTGAACAAAAGCGCTACAAAAAAGCAACCACTGTGGCGATCAATTTCAACAGCACTTCAAACCCAGCCCCTTCCGCCCAAAAACAAGCAGTGGCGACCTCTGGCGGTGGCAAACACCTTACGTAATGTTGTCACGTAAGCGGCGGCTTGTGCCCGTAATCTGTGCGGCGGTTGCTACGGCTACGGCAACGGACACTCGTCTACATTTAATTTTAGACACAATTTATTTATTTAAAAAGTTGTTTTTCGCCGATTTCAACTCTGGTTGTATTTTCTGACAATTCCCCGTGAATCGTTGTCGGGTTTGCCTCCTTTTGTTGCTGCTGCTGTTGCTGCCAGATTTATTGTTATTGCCATTTTTTTCGTGCCATTGTCGCAATTGTTTTTTGTGCCTTTTTTTTGTACTTTATTTCATTGTGTGTTCTGTGGCTTTGTGGAGCGGGAGGAGGAGGCAGCAGATCAGCAGATCGGCAGTTTATTTATCACCTTGCTAAGTAAATATTCTCGACCTAAATCGGTCAAGTGTCAGCGTTGAGCTTCTCCACTACCAGTCCTTACTTCTACTTGCATATTTCTCCATCAGCATTCGTCTTCAACTTCCATATATGTATGTTTAGTTCTTGGGCGGACATCTGCCTTGTTTTGGGGTTGCCATAATGAACTCGAAATATCTTTTGACTGTTCTCTATTCCTGTAATTAGTGCTCTCTCTCTCTCTCTCTTTAAATGTCAGATCTCTTCCAGGAAGACTTGCACACACGTAAAGGGGATGCTCTTGTTTTTTATGTTCTCCAGCACAAATTTTCCGACTGTTCGTACACTTATATATAGTTAGATATATATATAGAGATGTTGTGGACTCTTTGAGTCAGGCGGTAATTAATCAGGGGCGACCTTTAACCTCTTATAAATCGATTAATTAAATGCCATTTGGTGACACTTTCCACTAATTATGTGGCACACAAAAGATACATTACATATACATACATATACATGTATGTGTATGAGGTATACAAATGTCTGTGTATCGATGCCTGGTTTATCAGCTAAAACTCCTGCATTAGCATAGCACACAGATACCGATACCGAGTATCGCTGCGCTGAGTAATTAATATCTTTTTTTTTGTTTATCAAAAAAACTGCGACTTTGTATGCAAATCCTCGGCGGACGGAGTGTCCAAAATGTGTATATGTCAGGTTTAATTTGTTTGGTTTGGTGTTTCAATTTTTTTCGGGGGTTTTTGTTTATGGTGGAACACAATTAAAGACCCACCCGTACCCCATATGACAAAGGGTTGAAGAATCGGCAAGGGAACTGCTATACTGCTATACTGTGTGTGTGTGCCACAAACACAATTTTCGCGCTGCGATTGTGATTATGATATGTTCGGTCGGGATCGGATCGGATCATACCCATGCTTATAATATGCTATGTACGAGTATAGTACGAGTAGTTTCTGGCGTTTTGTTTTGAGTGCAGTTGTTCTGTGTGTTTCTTCTTTCATTCTTCTTCCATCGACTTGCGGAAGTTTCAATCGTTTTTAATGAGCTCCACAGCCAGTGACACACAAAGACCACTTAGATGAGATATGGACTGGGGGCCAATGTACATATCTACCATACCCTTCTCCAAGTTTTGGTTATTTTAGCTGTGGGAGAAATTATAATATTTACCTATCAATTTTAAAATGTTTATCCATAGATTTTCTGCGCGATTGGAAAAGGAAAGTGTTTTCACTTATGTAAACTTTGCCGTTGGTATGCAAATATTTGATTTAATAATATTTATTATTATTAATATTAATTATTAATTATAGTTAATAATTATTATAATAATTAATATTATAATATTATTAATTTTTAAACGAAATTCATATTATTTTAAATTGAATATTTTTCTCATTTAACATAAATATATTTAAAACAAATTTAATATATGTATCATATTAATTTTAATTTTTTTAATTTTTATATTTAGATAAAAGTCTTGGTAAAACATTTATGCTTAAATCAAAGTGAATTCAATTAACTTTCAATATTTTTCTATACAAATATTCGAATATTTAATTTTAATTTCTTTTTACTATGCGCCTGAGGGTAAAACTTTGGGATAAAGCAAACCCATTCAAACAGTAATCAACTACAAATTCCGCTTAAGTTTTCCAAGTATTTGTTGGCAATATTTAAATATGAAATATTGTCTTGTATGTTGCGTTAAGGGTAAGTTTGGGATTAATTGAAGCACCGTTTAAGCAACTTATTGGACCATTAGCAGATATTATATTTAAAATTTCAAGCCCCCCATTTACAGCGAAAATCTATTAGGCATGCAAAAATCGAAGCAACGGGCTAAACTCCTGTAAAATACTATTAAATAATGGTATCCATCCAACCATACCAAGAGCAGGGCATGTACTCATGCACTATGCCCGATAGCATTGCCGATGGATTGCCATTTGGATATGTTTTCTGGCAGTCAAATCCCGCAAATCACCCCCCACCGCCCACCAGTCCAGCAGTCGCCCGCGTGGACACAATCAGCGTTTCTAATTAGATGGCCAGACGTGCCAGCCGAATGCTTATTAGACATTCTATGCCCCCCAGACACCAGAGGAGGAGGTGGCACCGGTTGCTGCTCTGGTTTATAGTTTTCACAAAACGATGTGGGCCGTTCCAATTGACGCTGGCCCGTGCGGTGCGGTGCGGTGCGGTGCTTCCCCGCACCATGGCAACCTTCGTTGCTGCTAATGACAAATGCATGTCGCTCGAATTTGCTCTGTTGCTTGTCTTTCACTTGAAATTTTTTTGGTTATGCCGCCCCGATGGCTCCATTAGCTAACGCAACGCACCTCCTCCCCTCCCTAGCTCCCATCATATTTTCTGGACCCAAAGCTAAGATATATAATATGTAACTAAATTCTCTGAAAATTTTATTTAACGATATTTTTAACACTGTTTCATACGTTAGATTTTCGAGTTAATAAAAGTGTAAGAAATATATACCCATTTCCAAGATTAAAACATTTTTCTGCGATTTTTTGATTTAGAGCGGCCTGTGTGAATTGAATTTCGGTTTGGTAAAAAATTAAACAAAAAACACTGTAAAAAAAATAAATTAATAATAAATAAGTAAGAAGAATAAGAAATAATAGAAAACTAAGGTATTTGGAAATGTTTTTTTTTATTGACTGTTGGTATAGATATATAAATCCCATATATAGAAACTAAGTACCGGGTGGGTATCTATCTTCAAACAGAAACATTAGGAATTTATTTTAACTAAAATACATGCCAGTGTGTCTATTCTACTGCGAGAAGATGAAAAGTAATTTCGGTATGTCATATATTCATAAGTTTCTATATGCCAGAAGAAGCAGAAGAAGTACCACGCCATTGACGTGACTTTAATGCATTTTAATGGATACTTTTCCGTGATTTACTTAATAAAAACCGCATTGAAAATTCACCTTTAAGAGTATTTCGTATTTCGTGTGTTTATTTCGATTTTGTCTTGTTCAAACATTTCAAATGCAAAGTAGATCAAATGCAAAGCATCACCATGGTTGATGGGAGGAGAAGATTGCAGGCAGTCTGTGGCAATCACTTAGCAGGGCGTTAGAAATAGAGTTACTTGGATGGGATAACGAGACAGAGTCGACAGCAAGTACAGTCATACATGCGATGACAAGATGCCTATGCCCTGAGAAGTTGAGAAGAGCTGAGAAGAGCTGCAGCTGATGGTGATATCTGTAGGTTTTTCCAAGGAGGAGATTTGCTGTTGAAGGTGAAATCTGTGAGGTTTCTCCGCCCAGAAGTTTATCTGTGAAAAGGCAGCTAAGCTGAGGGAAAAGATCTGTGAGGTCTCTCAGCGTGGATCTGCTGTATGGGAGCTGAGGGAAAACCCCAATAAGGTTTCTATGCGAGGAACTTCAGACTGTGGCTTATGTGAGCAAAGTTCAGCCAAGGGATCTGTAAGGTTTCTCAGTGAGAAAAACAAAAACAGTTTGTAATGAGGTTTTCGAGCAGCATCTCAGCACAGGCGCATTCATGAGGCTTGTTCAAAAGTAAATTAAATTGCTACAAATATCTATTAAATGTGTTGGCCCCGAATTACCATAAAATTACGAGTCAAATTCTGCCCGCTGGCTGTGGAAAATGCAAATGAGATGGAAACAATTTATAATCGATCCGTATGAAATGTGCTATCAATTACAGCAACTAAACGAGAGAAATGCTTATGGGGAAACGCCACTAGTGGGGCAGGGGAGTGGTGGTGTGGTGGGGCAGTGTTGCCAGAGTGAATGGAAGAGGAGTGGAGGGAATGGAAGCCATAGGAGGGCCATAACGAAAGACTTAGGCAACGAACCTGAATCAATGAGCATTTCGGGGCAGGCTCTCTGCTCCATGCTGCCATGCTGCCATGCTGTGCAGCAAATTGTGCCCCCCTCTCAACTCAACCATCTGCCCACCAAAAAGAACTCCATGGCATAGCTCCAAATAGGCATTTCCCACGCTTGAAAAATGGCAGTCAAAGCCAAACGGAGCTGGAACGAGATTGGGGCTCAGACCAGTCAACTCTGGTCTGGCCAGGTCTGGCATGGTCTGGTCTGGTCAAGAGATCTCTCTGTGGATCTGTGCCAGTCTGTGTGTGTGTGTGTGTATAACATGTCTAGCCATAGCCATGGTCCTCGCCTTGGCTTGGCTTGGTCGACGGTTTTGGTGGCGCTTGTTGGCTACCGTTGCACGCCGCACCCAAAACACTGGAGCTAGAAGCTGCAACGTCTAAAATGGTGGAGGAAACCGGTTCCCGGCTCAACTCCGTCGGGACACAGAAAAATGCAAGCTATATGGGGAGATAACAAGAGAAAGACAGTCAGCAAGCGAGAGAGAGAGAGAGAGAAAGAGAGACAGTGGTGCCTCTAGATGATGGATTTTCGCCTGTTACTTTTCCTCAACTCATAAAGCTCTTGTGATCGTTCCAACGGATGCTGCGGATATCCAAGAAAATATATATTGAGACGTTCTCAGTTCAGTCAAAGTGACACGAAAAAAGATTCGGGGGCCTTCAGAATGTAGCAATTAAGTTCACCAGCTTGGGGCTGTTATTTCATGCTCGCTCTATCTCAGTGTTGCTTAGCCAGTTAAGGGTGCAGCAGTGCGAAATTTACACAGCAACATGCAAGAATATATTCATAGAAACTCAGCAGCGGTTGTGCCACGAACTTTATGCATTGATTTGAATACTTGCAGCAATATAAATTGGCAGAATTGTGCATATCCCTCTTGCCAGTGCTCCACTGTGGCTCATTACATACGAGTATATAATGCACTTATATACAGCACACATAGCGATGCATATATATGTATGTATATGCAAACTGTATGTATGCTGTATGCGGTATGCGCTGCTAGCTGGCCGGCTGGCTGGCTGGCTGGCTGGCTGGCTGGCAAAATCAAGTTTTGCATTTTCATTTAAATTTATTGGTTTTCTGCGTTGTCTGTTGCCATGGCATGCCTTACCTTGGCTTGCCACGCCACACCACACCATACCACACCACTCAAAGACCAGACTAGCAACTACGTTTCCAGTCAAGTATTGAGATTCGATTCTTGCTTCTTTTATTCCCCATTCGTTTTGTTGCGGCTCTCAAACATGGCCGACGCGCCACCGCCACACAAGAACAAGAACCCCACCAACATTTGAAGCCATCGGGCTGTGGCTCTTCTTTAATGGACAGAGCAAGGAATGGATGGATAGATGGATAGTTAGAGATAGCGGGGTGACAGAAAACAAGGTATTTGGAATACGCTTAAGATGTACACTTAATGAAGGCTGGTTTGCGGTTGCCTGGCCGGTTAGGATGGACGCCATTCGTTTACATTCGCACTTGAAACTTGCCCGCCTTTGTCAGATATTTGACGCCCTTGAAGGGCTTGTACTTCTCACCGTACATGTCCAGGCGATTCACCTTCAGACCGGAGACGGCCAGCTGCGATATCTGGAATTGCACATTCACCGATGGATTGGCATCGATGTTGGTCGTGCCCGGTGTGATGGACACCTTTTGTTTTTTTTTTTTGATTGGGAGAAACAAATGTTAGATATTTAATGGATATATACCGCCAGACCTCATCGTTAGACCTTACCGATCCACGTATATTGGGCAGCTTGGAGACATCGATGCGGCCCACATCCCAGGACAGCGTCTTGCTGACCGAATCGAACGTATATTTGCCCTGATTCGGCGTCAGCAGGCAATTGAGCACGCACCGGGGCATCGTTAGCTCCAGCCGCACTTTGTCCACGGTGCGTCCCAGTGTGTTGCGTGGCCCAATGGTCAGATCCAGGCGGCCCTGTTCGCCCGTCTTAATCGAAAAGTTGTGCCGTATGTAAATGGGTATGGCCACCACCGACTGCGAACTAATGTGATAGGACATCAGACGGAAATTTCCGTCGGGCGGTATAAAGGAGAGCAGGCGCTCGGCCTCCCAGCGCTTGAACCGCACGCACGGATGGAACGAGACGTCGTCGAAGAGGCGTGGATTCATAAAGGACAACGTCAGATCCGGCATGCCCGACAGCTTGATGCAGCAATCGATCTATAAATTTGTTGGTTCAATTTCTGCTACTCGCACATTTCAGCGCAGAGCTTACGTGTCCCTGGATTTCGGCAAAGACAGTGGATCCGGACTTATCAATGATGGCGTCCACCTCCTCGATGACATCGAAGTAGGCCTCGTTGTTCGTATACCGCACACCGCTCCGTCGCCAGGGTATGGCCGACAGCTGGCCCGAGGGCAGGATGGTGCTGACACTGCAATGCAAGATGGAGGAAATCAATGGGAATGGCGGTGAAGGTTCGTTCAGGTGATGGCTAAACGGACTTGCTCTTGCCGGTGACGGTGTTGGCAATGGTGCGGAGTATATTCGGCGGCTTGATCAGCTCCTTCAGGATGTTGCTCTCCGTGGCCAGGGGAAAGCCGTTGTCCAGCATCTCGTCGAGCAGCTCATAGACGACCACATAGTTGTCCTTGATCACCGTCTCCGAGCAGTCGCCAAAGTAGTCCTGGAATGTGTCCACCACACGGTGCAGGAATTCGATCACAAAGAGTGGCGGCACCTCCTGCTTGCAGGCGGCCACCAGGGAGACCGCCTCCCGCTGCACCGTGATGAGGTAGTAGTGGGGCGTGGCTATCACCGGCGGCACATCCTGCCAAACATAATTAACTTTTCAGTACGTGGCAGAATCACTGATGGGGGGGGGCTTACATATGGTGCAGCGCGCTGCGCATCGAGGAAATATTCGCAAACGGATCGCGAGACGACAGACCGCCAGTGCTTCTCTAGGAACACCTCGCTGGTTGGGGGGAGAGAGGTGGAATGGCTGACACTTGTTTGTTATTCATTCCTGGCTTAGGCCGCACTTACCCCCCGCTGTTAACGATAAACAAACTGTGTATCATATTTCGGCCCAAGTTGTTTACAATTTTTTCTTGATTCGCAATTTCGGGCAGTGTTGGCAAGCGCACACAATACCCTAGCGCTAGTATTTAAATACTAAAAACTGTTTGAATAAAATACTCAAGAGCGCTACCAGACCGCGTTAACCAACCAGCTGTTATAGCGACGGTACAAAAAGCACAGAACTTTTTTAAAAAATTTAAAAATTCCCAGCTAACTTGCTGAGTTTCCGTTAGCTGCTTCGAGGGCAGACAGAGTTTGATGGATGCTTGAATCCGCAGCGGCCAAAGCAGACAAACGCCCGCGCACATTAACCGCCAGCAGTCAGCACGAAATTATATAATTCCCCCTCGCTGCGGCCAGACACATGAATCTATATAGCGGCTCCGTGCGACGTCTGCTCGACAGTTGGCCCGGCAAGCGACGCTTTGGCATCTACCGCTTCCTGCCGCTCTTCTTTGTGCTGGGCGCCGCCCTTGAGTTCTCCATGATCAACTGGACGGTGGGCGAAACGAATTTCTGTATGTGCCCTTCCCCGCCGTTTTCTGTGCATCTGCGTCTTCTGTCCCTGTCTAATCTGGGTATTTTCCGCTTGCAGATAGTACTTTTAAGCGTCGCCAGGCCAAGAATTACGTGGAGGAGCAGCAGCATCATCAGCAGCAACAGCAGCAGCAGCAGCAGCAGTAGTCGCATAACTGAGGGAATCATGCCCGCTGGCGTGTCGTGGGCTCAATACAGCAAGTTCCTGGCCAGCGCAATGCTGGCCATGATGGCCGGATCCCAGGCGGTGCATCTGTACTACAAGCCGCTCGAAGATCTGCCCGTCTACATAGAGCGCGAGCAGAAGCCGCCGGCCAATCAGGCAAAGGCTGCGGACTAACCACCCCCACCCATAAACTACAACTATATTCTGTAAGAACTATTGTATTGACTAATGCTAATTAAATTTCACTTGTTTGACAGACAATTCCAGCGTGTGTGTCTCCTATTTGTCGTGAACCTTGCGGTGGTTCTTGAGGCACGTCTGCTGCCGGAATCCCTGGCCACACACATCGCACACATACGGCTTCTCGCCAGTGTGGATGTATTCGTGGTGGCGCAGGGTTTTGCGCGAGGCAAAACACTCCGAGCAGTACTTGCAGGCGAAGGGCTTCAGCTTGAGGTGCACCGCTCGGATGTGGGCCTCCAGCTCGAACTTGCGGGCGAACAGCTTGCCGCAATGCTCGCAGGGCATCTTGTCGGTGGAGTGCATCAGCATGTGCTGCAGCAGCATGAACTTCTTGGCCATGCGGCGGCCGCACACCTGGCACACGTGCGGCAGGAGGCCCTCCTGGTCGCCATGCTGCTGCATGGTGTGGTAGCGCAGGGTGTAGCGGGAGTGAAAGTGCTTCTGGCAGAGCTCGCAAAAGTGTTGCTCGCTGCCGCTGTCCCTGGCGGCCACCTCATCCTCGGTGGGGTGCTTGGTGCGTCGGTGGTAGTTCAGGTTGGCCGACTGGTTGAAGGTGGCCCCACACTGCTCGCAGATGAACTTACGCACCGGCTCCTTGGTGCTGTGCTTCAGTCTTTTGTGCTTCTGCATGGCAATGGAGCTGGTGTAGACGCGATCGCAGCCGGGCTGGTCGCACGGATAGCGGCGCTCGCGCGTCGCATGGATCTCCTTGATGTGTGTGTAGAGGCCGCCCATGAAGCTGTAACATTTGTCGCACTGGTCGCACTGGAACGGCCGCTTGCTGCCCTCGTGCACCTTGCGGATGTGGGCGGACAGGGTGAGCTTGTGGGCGAAGCTGTGCTGGCACAGGCTGCATTTCAGGCTGTTTCTCGCGCCCCGTGAGGTTCGCTTCTCCGCCTTGGCCTCGTTCTCCGTCTGGCCCTGTCCACTTTCTGGCCGTGTTGCTGCAGCAGGCTCGTCGATGGGATCGGGATCTGGGTCGGGGTCCGGTGGTTCCAGGCTGTGCAGCGACTCTTCGTCCTGACCCTCAGTTGCTGGCTCCTCGTACACAATCTCGAACGAGGGCTCCGTGCACTGGTCCTCCTTCAGCAGGTCCAGCAGCTGGAGACGGCACTCGATCGCCCGCCGTCGGAACTGCTCGAAACGCTGCAGTTCTTGACGACAGGGCGGGCACAGCTGCTGCGGCAGCCACTTCTCCAGCTGGAGCTCTTCTTCCAGCGGCCAGTCCAGGTGTTGGTGCAGCAGATGCTGCAGCTCCTGGCTGTTGGCCACCTCAACCGGATCCTGTTCGCTGTCCAGCTTCAACAGGCAGGTGAGACAGTGCTGCTGGGCCGTCTCCCTGGTCAGTTTCCGGTTCATCCTGCGGCCTTTTCCGCGATATAAACAAAAAAAGTTCTCTTGTTCTATACCGAGGTTGAAGCTTTAGCCCACTGAACCCCCCTCTATTTAAACAGTAAAAATCCCTCAAATAAGCCGTGAAAAAAATACTGTTTGTAAATGCTCTATATAGCTCTATTCTCCTCTTTACTTACAAAACAAAAATTAGCACAATATCTTTCACCTGAACTACGCTAAAATTATTCTAGTTTCATAAATTTCGTGGGAATATTTAATACCCCCGTGGTCGACAATGGGCTAACGTTCTTTTAGTTGATCCGAAGTTATATTCCTCGTTTTTGAAATTCGGTTTAATATTGCTATCCAACTGGGACTCTCACCACTAAATATGTAATTTTATCCAATTGATGAATCAATTTTCTAGAGATTGGTTGATTTTGAGTACTCTTTTTCATTGGTTTTTATAGAAAATAAAGTTTAAACAGAAAAGGATCCACAAGAAAAAAATAGTAAAGAGCCCTGGTCGTTTATGCTGGGCGTTGCCAGATGCTGCATTTTCGAACGTTCGCAGCCGAAAACGGTTAATGTTCGAATAATAGTATTTCCGCTTAAATTTGAATGTCAGCAGAAAAGATTAAAATATTAATCTACCGTTATTACCACTCAGCCTGTCGTATTATTTAAATCACTTTTTTATAACTTTAATTAGTTTGCTATTTAATATAAGAATAATTATAAAAGTACAGAAGAGGGCAATGATTTCATATTATTTTATCTCGTTTTAATTGCCTTGGTCGCTCATTGCTTAGGGGGAAAGTAGACTAGTAATGAATTCCAGGTCGTCTTTTTCAACTGTTGGTTAAAAATATCACAACATTTGCTCATTTAAAGGCCTTTTTCCATAATTTGCAGAGCGTCAATTTGTTTCTCTATCAATATGCAATAGTTTGTATTTAAAATAAGTTTATAAAGAACTGCCTGAAATGTAATAATGGCTACAAAGGCAAGGCCAAACCCAGTTTAAAATATACGCGCCCATTGGCTGTGCTCTTCTGTCGCCCGCTTGGCATGCGACCGGCTGCTGCCGCACCAAGTTCGAATTTTCGAACACGCCGACAGCTGTTCGAGACCTATAAAAGCTTGACGCCAAATTTTGCGCCCTCTGATAATACGCTCTCTGCTCGAGAGTAGCACTACCACTGGCCAGCTCCACCACCAATCGTGGCCCCCAGAAACGAAACGCTGTTGATTTTTGGCGCGCAATTTTGTCAAACTGCAGAAATTCAAGCTGCCATTCGATAGCATACAATTTTATTTGTTTTTTTGCTGTGTGTTCGCTCAGTGAGTGTGTGTTTGTGCGAGGTTAATTGCAGGGCGCATTTGAAATATTGATGGGACAAGTGCAGCGACAAAGGGCTCAATAATTCAGTAGACGTTCAGTGCGAGACTTTCGCCCCCCTGTTTTAATTCTGTCGCAAAAGAAACGCAAACAAAAACAAAAATAAAAACAAAAACAGGAACAGTAACGGGAGCTACAATCGAAAAACAAAGTCCAGGATGAGCATGTAAATGCAATTGGAGGCGATGGCATCGAGCAGCAACAAGCCCAAATACAGGTCCCAGAGCGCGGCCGGCACGCAACTCCGTTGGCTGGACTGCCTCATCCAGCTGTGCTTGTTTACCCGAGGTAAGTGTGGATAGGGGAATAGGGATAGGGGAATTCCCGCAGTCACCGACCGCCACCAAACCCCTTTATGTAGATGACCGCACAGCCCTTGCACGCGCGTGGGGGTATTCCATTCGGGAATATGCGGCGAATGCGTAATTTATGGCACTGCTCCCATTGCAGTCCCTTCAACCCACCACCCACCCAACCCTCTGGGCCCGCCGTCTTGCCATAATGCTACTCAACGAAATTAAAACTGAAAGAAAGAGCCCCATACCGCCTGCTGCTTGAGCGGCAGTGGCAGTGGCAGAGGCAGAGGCAGCCGCGTTAATGTGTAAAATGCACAGCCCCAAGACCCTCGAAGAGCTGCAGCAGCAAAAGTTTATGCTATTTTATTGAGTATTCTCGGAAAACTGTTGCCTGTTCGCCACACAATCCTCCTGCCCAACACCCCCTTCTGCAAGCAACCAAAAGAAAAAAAATTGCAACAAAATACCAAGGGGGAAAATGCTTCAAAGATAAATCCACGCTAAGTGGAAAACGTATGAAAACAAAAACGAAACTTTTCCTGTCGACGCAACAGCAAATTGCAATTATCCAGACCGAAAAGTGTCAAGACTATAAGCCGACTTGTGAGTGGCCAAAAGGCCAGCGATACCCTTGGTCTAGGGATCCCCCCTCCCCACCCTTAGGTCAAGCATGGGCTGAGAAAAAATGTGCGAGGGTTTGGCGGTGAAGTTGGTGCTGGGGGGAAAGAGCTTCCTTTCTAGTTGGAAAAGTTAATCAAAATTGTTGGAATTTCTTGAATTTTTTACTCGCTTGGCTGCAGTGCAAGTCCAGTAAAAGAGAACTCATCTTAACTTGTATTGAATGTACGAGGCAAATAGCCTTGAAAATGTCTGCAAATGCAAATGCAAATAAATACGACATAAAAAACAAAAAGAAACAAAACAAAAAAAACACCCAAACCCTCTTGGTCATGATAATCCCTTCCAGCACCAGCAGCAGCTAGCAGCATTCGTGTCGTATTTCTGCCGTTTGATTGTTTTGCCATTCACGTGTTTAACTGCCTGTGCGGGTGCTATAGCCACAGATAGTAGCTGTCTTACAGTTATCTCCATGGGATTTACCCTTCGGCGTGGCAACACCTGCCCCACCATACCCCACCTGCCCCAACTGGTGGCATTCCATAAATAGACACAAATCGCAGTTGGGAAATCTCATCACTCCGCTTAAGCGTGCCATAATGAAAGCGCCAGACAACAGGCAGACTCCCTTTCGGCCAGTGGACGGTGGACAGTGCGTTCAATGCACTGAGAGAAATTCACCACTCGATAGCCAGAGACATTCCGGTGAGTGGCAACGGTAGATACAACTTTCTGTCAGTGCTGCTGTTGCTGTGGCTATTTTCATGGATTGGTTACTGACTCACGTGGCAGCACCGACTGGCGCTGGGGGCTGGGGGGTGCAACCTGTCTTAACTGGATTACAAACGGACTACCCGGGGGGCGGTGGGGGGTCTGTCACAAAAAGGGTGAATCCTGCACCTTGCTCAATATGGCGACACTAATCCCTCATCTACTTCTCAGTGCCCAGCCCCCCTGGCAACCTGCTTGCCGCTGCGCACAGCTGATTAGATGGCGGCACTCAGCGGCAGTGGCCGTGGCAGTGGCAGTGGCAGTGACACTCCATTTACCTGTCATTCGCAAGCAGCCCAGCACCAGCCCCTGCGTCACTTCCAGCCAACCCACACGGTAAACTGCTGAAAGGGCCATGCGGTTGACAGCCCCCGCGTGCGTCTTATGAAGTTGCATTACGCATTTGCCTGAGACTGACTGAGTGCTTGCGTCTGTTGGCCACGTCACAGAGAGACTGCTCAGGGGCTGAAGGTCTCTTATGCATCCGTTACCCAATTATATAAAAGAACTCAAGAGCTTTCCACTTCCATCCCCACACCGCCCATCTTGGCTACAGCATGGCCCTGATGAATGCCACTGTCTCTGGTCTAATGAGAAGTGTCAACAACAATGTGAATAATATGAATACATTCATAAAGTTTGTGCGCTTGGCGAAAATGCCGTATCATAATTCCCGTGCTTCCCTTCCATTCCGTTCTTTCGTCTTAAGTGTTTTGTGAAAAGGTAAAAAAAACATCAAGGGAACTGCTGGCTTATGGCTACCTTTGATACCCTTTCACAGAAGTTGTTACTCTGGTAGCTAGGGGATCTGAGCTGTTTACTTTGGCGGGATCTGTGGAAAATAACTTTACACATTTTACTCAGTTTTGGTTTGGCATTAGAAGTAGTCGAAAATGCTTGGTTTTCTGTGTGTTTGTGTGGCAAGTATCTGTTCAAATCATAATGTGCTCTTCCAGGCTGCTAAGCTGAGTAAAATAAAGGCATACAAAACTTTTAACTGTAGATGGAACAGAGATGACCATTGCCCTTTATGCCACACAAATTATCTTGATATTGGACGGGCAGTGAAAGATTCAACTGGGAAGAAAATAAGCGAGAGGCAGAAATAAGAGGAAAAAATAGTTTAAACATCAAAGAGGGAAGTCCATCTTCCAGCCATCTTCAAGGCATGATTAAAGCCCCAATTACAGACCCATCACTGGTAGATAGATACCCCCCACTGAGCATAATTAATAAATTCCAATGAGAGATTAAACGTACATCCCAATCCCATATGGATTATTGTTCGACCGCAACTCAATCGAACTCAAAAGAACTAAAGAAATTTCTTGTTCATTCTTTCGGTGTGGGTGTTGGTGTGGGTGTTGGTGTGGGTGTGCCGCGTGGGTGCTTACTGAATATCGAATGCCAAGAAAAATGAGCGAATATAAATGAAAATATAGCACTGGCTGGTTTGACTTAGGGGCTCCAGGGTACCGGAGGCACTACTTGGCATGTTTATAAACATTGGACGAGCGCCCAAGAAAGTTTGTTGTTTTGTTTTGTTTTTTTTTGTTGTTGTGTGTGAAAACAAACAATAAACAATTTGAATTGAAGGATAAATGGAAAGCTTAATACCCTTTCCAGCAGTGGGCTACCAAAAATGTTTAAATATGTATTTGTATTTGTAGACTTATTCTCTGCTGCTTGACAGTTAGCTCAATCCCCATGGAGCAACGACACAAATCTTTAAGACATCAAGGCATCTGTGTAAACTTTCAATAATCTATATCCTTTAATCGATTTCCGTTTGTGGAAAGTTGACTAAGTCACAAATCAAATCAATTCACCGCTCAAATCTTTCAGTTTTTCCCACTGGGAGGTCAGAGTATATGGCGTATAAGTACAGTGGCAGTATCTACTACAGTATCTTCAACAATTTGGCACATTTAAACACACACCCACACACATACACACACCCGTTTCAGATATTCAATTGCGAAGCTTTTTCCGATCCCCTTCTTCGTTTCGTTTTGTTTCGTTTGCCCTAAAGGCAGCATCTGGCTGCTGTCGCTGTTGCAATTTTTCCAAATTTGTCAACTTTTGTGGTCGACACACCCCCTCCCCACCCCCCCGTTGCCTGCCCCTCAATCTGCTGGCCCTTTGTACTTCCTCCAGCTGTCCTTCAAGGACGCGCATGCATATGAAATATGTCGACTTTATTTTGTTTTAACGTAACAAACAACAAACACAAAAAAAAAATAGCCAAAAATAATAATACATGTCCAAGCTGAATAGACTGGCTGATACTCCGTACAAGCAGCAGTTCATGATAATGTTGATTGATTTAATTTAATTTAATTTAATTTGGAAGCAATTAAACAGAATAGGCGAAATTTGTTTTGAATTCTCGGGCATTTTCTTTAGCACTTTTCGCTTGTGCATCGGTTATCGTGGAATAAATCTCGGCACAATGGGTGCGGCTGGCAGCAAGTATTGTGCCTCAGATAGTTGGAATGAAATGAAAAGAGCTCATTTATACTATTTATCAGTAAAAAGGAGTTGATTTAATGCAGCTCAAGTCTTGAAAAAAGTGAAAATAGCTTTGAATTAATTTTAGAATTACGCTCTTATTTGTTTTCAAGCTAAAGAAATATTACAAATTACCCATTAGAGGGTTTCCGCTTAATTTTGATAAATCTAAAATATATTTAATTCATAAAAATGTATCGTATTAAAATGTCGATCCTTTAGTTTCGCACCCCCCGGCTCTTCTCCATTGAATGTTTGCCACTGCTGGTGCGGGTCTGGTGCTGCGGTTTGTGTGCGTGCTGCCCCCCGCCCCACCCCCCCCCCCCGAGCCCGTGCCCGTTGCCAAGAAGCATACTGCAAATGAAACAAAACGCATATTAAAAATAATTATGTCCAAAGGATTCTCGATAAAACGGGGCACTGCCCCACAGCGGTGCTCCCTGTCGTGTGGGGGGAGTGGGGATAAGCCCTAATCCTTTACATGCACCCGCACAGGCAACTCCAGCGCTAGCGCTCGCCGGTGGAAATGAAGCGCGGGGCAAATGTAAAGGTACAGGTACAGGCAAAGGCAAAGGCCACAGGCCACACATGAACAGCGTCACGCAATCGAGTCGGGAATTGCCCTTGATGATGATGATGATGCCCCAAAAGGTCTCGCCACTCAATTCCGCCCCACATGCAATAACATGCAATTACAGGCCATATCGGCTAAGTGCAACATCTCACTTTACCCCGCTTTATACACATTTGGCCACCCACTTTAATTGGCTTTCAATTTGAGTGATCATTAGCTTGGGCCAGCATTTATTTTTCGTCTTTGCAACAGTTTAAAGTTCACAAAAATGATTTTCAAATTCAGGTGCATGCAATTCCAGCAAATAAATTTCAAATTGTATTCAAATCGAGCATTCCTTGCAGGTTTTCTATGGTTTTTGAATTATTTATTATTATTACTATTTATTTAATTATTAAATTCCAAGTGTCTGCGTTTTGATACGCGTAGATCTTTTAGTAGAGGAATAGCTGAATGCTTAAAGTCCTCTCAACTTCTTCCTCTGGGAATACTCACTGTAAGCTCGTTTGTGCCATTTT